AGATTTCTCATTATTTTACTTTTCCTTTAGAATTCCTGAGTAAAATAAACTGTTATGAGAAATACTATGAGTTTTGTTTGAACCCTAGACAGACTTACTGAAATTTCATCCCTTAGCATCAAGCCAGAAACCAAAGACACTGGTTTTGCTTAATGGCATACTCACAATGATGATGATGAACTAAATATTAGCTTCAATTTTCCACAGAATGCATAGGTTTCTCCCTTTTATTCTGACTGACATTGTTAATGTTTGTATGATTAGTTTTCCTGGGGTAACAGATTAATATACATTCTCATATTCGATTTTAATTTCTTTTTATGGCTGTTAGGATTCTAGGATACAAAAGAAACAATTTTGTAGGTTGAGGATATTTGTAATTTACTAAGGTAAGGATATTAAATATGGGTAAAATACAGCCAAGTAAGTGTCTAGCAAGAGATTATCCCTCTAGTCTTTGTTAACCTTGATAGTTGCATTCCTGACTGCTCTTGGGAGGTCAGAATTTATCTTTCAAAATTTTGTTTTATTACTGATTCTTTGTTCTCTTCTTCCTTGGAGGCAGTTTATAAGAGCCAACTTCTAGAGTACAAAAAGCAAGGGCAGTTGGTTCTTCATGGAGCATTTACACTTGGGTGAGCCTTAGCTCCAGCCCAGAGCAACCAAGTAATAATGAAGTTCACTGCTGTGATGTGAAGCTGCTGCTTCCAGAAGGGCAGAGTCACTATTTCCAGCTGTCAGTGCAGAGACTGTGTTATTATAATTAATTATTATTATCAAATAAAGAACTAACATTAAATAATTTATTCAGTTCTTATCTGTTTCTTATTCTGAACTTTTGATTTTTACTAGCAGGAGATAAAAGGAAGAAGCAAAAATATCATTTCAATTGATTTTAGGAATCAGTTTAGGTGAGTTAGTTTAACCGCTGACTTTTCCTGAGAGTCTTAAAGTTTCTTTAATAATAATTAATGTAAGTATCTTATGGATTTTATAATTATTTGATATGAAAAAAAGCTATGAGTATGAGAACTCTAAAATTGTATTCTCAATTTTTCTTCAGGTGAATTATCTTATCTAGTTAAAAGAAAAAAGTTACTTTACTTTGTTATCTTGTAATATTCACACCAATTCTCATATCAACTGCAGCTTCCACTACTGTTTAAAAGGCTAAATTCTCTAATTCAGTCTCTAGAAACTTTTTGGGTTTGCCAACTTCCCATCTCTCAAGTAAACCAGGGTTTATTATGTGGTCAAGAAGGCCAACATCACATTCAAACAGTGGAAAACGTTACTAACCTCCTAAGCATGCTGTGGTATTATGGAGATCTACTTTTGAGTACAGAAGACCCTTTTTTTAAAGGGGTGAGAACTGAGAGGTAACTTTAAAGACACAGAACGCTCAGGAAGGAAACAGAACCATTGCCTTACTTTGAGCAGTTTGTTGGTGGGTGACTTGGGATCCGCAGAAAGATTAACAAGCACAGAGGAGAAGTTCACCAAAACATTTTTTTCCAAGAAAGAGTAAAGAACAATAATTGAAACATTTGGTAACAGGTTCAGCTTAGACAGGTCTAGAACAGGGCCTGAAGGTGCAACTTACAAACAACCCTGTTTCTTCCAGTGCTGGAGAGATGGATTCTCAGAAGCAGGAGACATATTCACGGAGCTTCCTTCTCTGAGCTCTCTGTGTTTCAGAATATTTATCTATGAATTTCTGCTCCTGTGAGTGACAATTTACAGTTAGGAGGATAATGCAGACAGCTTCATCCCCAAGTGTCTTGCAGCCAGGAATCAGGCACAGGACCTGTGTCTTCACAAAGGGGTGCTCCATGGGTGGCTTGATCTTAATTCTCATTTAAAGAGAAACTCTTCCCTTTAATCAAAAAGAATATTCACTGTGCCTCAGGTGAGAAACAGGCCTCTGTATTTCCCATTCTCATCCATAGTAGTGTTGGTTTGGATAATTTGAACTGATGCAGTCTGTAGAACAAAGTCTACAGGATCAGAAACTGATACATAAATGAGCCAAAGATGGCCTGTGTGTCCTGGCCCCTATGTTGTTTAATAAAAACTGGGTTTATTTCTCAATGGCCTGTTCCAAACTCAAATTTACCAATGCAAATATTTTAAAAACAGCTCCCTCAAAATATTTTTAGCCTTTTAGAAAATACTTTGCTTGTCCAGAAAATTTCACCAATATCTGCCAGGAATAAGAAAAACCCCAGTTATGAAACTCCGCTGCTGTGTGGCATCTCTCAGACGCATAACCCGTTCTCCAGTGTCTCTCCCGTTTTGAGAAGCAACCCTGTCACCTTATTCTCTGCACAGAGTCCTGCTGTGAGGGACTTCTCTCTGCAAACCTGTCAAAGCTTCGCCCAGTAAAGTTATGTGTGCGACTGCCCCCCTGTGGTCAACTTTTTCCTTGATCGGCCCTCAAATTCTTCAAATCCCCTACAAATAGGATCACAGTAACCACCCCAAACACTGACTCAGAGTCATAAACAAACAATTCCACTTCTAAGTCTCTTTTCCTAGGACGTATAAATAATGCATTTGCTCTCAATTTTATGGACCCCAATCTAACCTCATCAGGAAAAGGAGAAACAGCCATAATAAATCCCACCCGTATATGTCCTCCCTCATTCAGGTGACCATGGTTAATGTTAAAGACACACAGAGGCCTGCTGCACACCTAGATCCTAATGGAGCTGGTTCTGACGCCTTCTGATCTGTGTCCGCTGTAGAGTGACCAGCTTTGTCTGCTGTTGTCAAAGCTTTGGCATAAAGTGTCAACAGATAAGAGAGGGAGGTTTCTCATCACGATTAGTAATATTATTCTTTAAGTCTATAGGTAACACAGAGTAATTTCAAAGCTCTTTTCTGACTAAAACAGATCTTTACAATATTTCACATTTTATGGTTATATAAGGCAACAGAACCTGAGATTATTATTATTTTTTTTAATCACAGTGGTAGCCTTCTTAAAAATTTATTAAGTCTCATAGAAAATAGCAACTCTATCTTAAATTAAAGCATCTTAAAGAACACTTTGGAAAAATAACATTTTCAAGAATTGGCTTTTAGTAAAAAAAAAACATGGCAAATATTTTTACCGTTATTCATTTTCCTACTATTCAAGTTTCCATATCGGATAGTGGACAGAACTGATTCTTCATTTAATACCCTTTCAGAATAATTATTTAAAACTTGCAGTAAGATGGATCATCTTGTTCTATTTAAGTTAGGCTTATTATGGTTTGTGTTTTCTTTTTTCCTTCAGCCTCTGAATTTTCTTATTTTATTATCATTATTAATTAGTAGTCTGACTTTTTGAATTAGAATTGGTTAATAACATAAGAAAAGAAAAAGTCAGGTATAGTAAAGTTACTACATTTATTGAGAAAAGAGAAAATAAAATTGAAATAGTAAAATATGAGCCTTTATTCCAATCCAACTTCTTAAGTACAATTTAATCTCCTTAACCTACATTATTGCAATGGAGTTCAATATTTAAAGGTCAATATCATTGTTATTCAATGATCTTTTCAAATCTTGTAAAAAATGTCATTCTGGCAGATTTTCCGGAAGAGATTTAAACCAAACTTTCTCTGGAATCTTACCTAGAATTTCATTTGTTTGTGTTCTTGGGCAATTAAATATGAATTTTTGGTAAATTACCCAAGTTTACATAGCAGTGCAAGGTAGTCTTTCAATTGTTCATGGATTTTTTTTTTTTTCCAGAGATGTGACTGTTCTTGTGATGGTATTTGGCGTCAGCACCATTATTGAGGAGCTGTTCAATTAAACATTAAGCACGTCACTAACAAATGAAGAAAAATGAGGTTGTTTCCCTTTGTAATGATCAGCTGTGGGGCCAACTTACATCCCTGAGCTGTGAGCATCTTTACATGAAGCGATCCAAATGTCAGTTTCAGGTACAGGTTACCCTGAGACATAAGACTGTAATTTCAGTCCTTGCTCCTCTCACATAGAACATTTTCTTCTGAACTGCAGACTCACTGCTGTGGCTGCACCACATCCAGGCTGGGGGTGACTCAGGTTTCACTCAGAGTTGGCAAGAACCTGGAAGCCCTGATAGAATTTGATTCAACATGACCAGAAAGACTTTGTGAAAAGAGTTTTCCTAGGCATCACTTGGAAAAACATCGTGTAATATTATTTTTTATTTGTTCTGTGTCATTACCAGAGGAAATTCTTCTCCAGAAGAGCCTGCTGGTGAATCTTGTATATGTGAGGCGATTATGATGGGATATATCCCAGATTGAGCAGTTTGTCGCCAGGAATTTTATATTCACTGGCTGAGACATAACATTCTTGCCTCCTTTCCTTTTCTTTACACTGGACTTTTGGCTCTAAATGTAGAGACTCATATCATTCTCCCTGTGAGGTCCTTGGATAGAGTGCTCTTACGGGGTTCACTCACCAGGTGCCAAGGAAGGAGAGGTTCTAACACTTGCATTGCACAATCTTGAACAGTTATCCTGGAAATAGCAGATACCAGGCAACACTGCAACTGGCTCAGGAGCTCTTTGTATTTGCAGACCCTCTGCCCGTCAGTGGTTGTGGGATGGGGCTGTTTTCTTCTCTAGATTGACTGTGAGTGAGCCATGCAGGATGGCATTCACCTCCCAGAGATGCATCCTAGAAACACACTTCTACATTGTCAGGGGCCTTGTGCTTTCTCAGTGTGGCATGCACTACGCAATCTGTCCCTGCCCAGGGTCCCAACTTTCACAGTCAGAGTCTTCTTCCCTTGACCACAGGCAAACTGGACTTGAGCTATGTTTGTTTTGTTCCAATGAACATTTTATGTCACAGTGTTCCCAGAGGAGCCATTGCTCCTACACCACTGACCCTTTCCACCCCACTGCACCCACCAGGTTATTTGCATATTGTCCCCTAGGGAGGACCTTCCCTTGCGAGTGTGGGATAAAAGCTCAGCTCTCACCTTGCCTTGACTGATCAGGACTCCTCAGTTCACCTTCTCACAATGAGGCTCCCTGCTCAGCTCCTGGGGCTGCTAATGCTCTGGCTCCCTGGTAAGGAGAGAATTAAAACGAGGTGGGAAAATGCGGTGGGAAGGTGAGCTCTGGGGGCTCCACAGCTTCCTACATTTATTTCAACCATGTGTTACAGGCATATAGTCTATGTTTCAGGAAAGATAATTCATATTTTTGTTTTATGAATAATCAGGAATACCCTCCCAGGAACAATGACCAGCACTCTGATACCGATTTTGAAAATAATGAGTGTCCTGCTGGCTAGTAAATGACAGGTTTATAAGAGAAATTATACTTTTCATGATATAAATTACAACTTGAAAATATATGTAACTGTAAATCAATATCTTAATGGATATCATGAAAGTTGCTCATAATGTGTCTATATAACATTGCACTTCTCTGTTGTTATTTCAGGATCCAGAGAGGATATTGTGATGACCCAGACTCCACTCTCTCTGTCCGTCACTCCTGGAAAGCCGGCCTCCATCGTCTGCAGGTCTAGTCAGAGCCTCTTTGATAGTGAAGATGGAAACACCTATTTGAATTGGTACCTGCAGAAGCCAGGCCAGTCTCCACAGCTCCTGATCTATGATGCTTCCACCCATGCCTCTGGAGTCCCAGACAGGTTCAGTGGCAGTGGGTCAGGCACTGATTTCACACTGAAAATCAGCCGGGTGGAGGCTGAAGATGTTGGGGTTTATTACTGCATGCAAGCTCTACACTTTCCTCCCACAGTGGTACAGGCCCGAACAGAAACCTCCCTGCTGGGTGTCCCAGCTGCTCACATGTGCTGCTTGTCTGGGGAGCAGCTCAGCAGGGTCTCTGAGTCTGCAGAAGAGGAGGCTGTTGGAGAATTCAGGGCAGAGTTTGCTGCTGAGGACTCTGTCTGTGATGACAGGTGCATGCCACTAAGCATGGCTAATTTTTGTATTTTATGTAGAGTCGGTGCTTCACCATGTTGCCCAGCCTGTTCTCAAACTCATGGGTTCCAGCCACCCACTTGACTTAGCCTCCCAAAGTGCTGGGAGTATAGGTGTGAGCCATTGCGTCAGGTCAGCACCCCTGTTTATGTTCCTGTCACCTGCCACAGCCGTGACTCTCATAAGCAACAGGAGAGTAGGGCCCTGTGAGTAAAAATTTGGGATGAAACGGAAAGAAGAATGGAAGCTCATCTTAATCCTCCTGCCTTGCCCACATTTATTTAAATTTATTGAGTAAAACAGTCAGATAACTGATCATTTCTTACAAAACATGTAGAATACATCTTAGGGTTTAACAGTTTTATGTACATGTTAAAGGAAATATTTGGTTATATGTGAAATTGGCATTTTCCCACTTTTATAATTCCTGCTTCTTCTATTTACCATTCTTCTCCACTCCCTGAGACAGTAGAGACAGGACTTTATACTAATTCTCTTCAGGGGGAGCTGGCTGAGGACAACCAGTAACATCTTGGTTGTGAGTGTCAAATAGATTTTGTAATTTCATAGCAGACACAAGATCCTAACACTAAAACTCTTTGATTACAATTACCTCCTGTGGATTGAAAACGGAGTTCCTGAAATTTTGAAAGGTGGTTTTAAAAATAATATGTGTACACTGGAAGATGCAGTATACTAAAAATGTAGTATTTTCCATGGATCACTGAGAAAATACAAGATAATGTAAACTTTTTTATCTTCTAAAGAATAGAATTTGAGATTGGGCAGACTGCAGGAATGGGAGCATGAAGAGAACACAAGAGAGGTCAGCTCTTGTTCAATTACACTGCCCTTGACTTATGGTGCGTGGGGATGTGGCTGGTGGTGGGCTTGGTAGTTGATGATGTAGATCCCAAAAGGGGCCAAATATGTTTTTGTGAAGAACCACAGAGTTGAAGGCACTGCTGCCTGGCCTTTCTGGGTGGAGCCTGTGCCACTGGGAGTCTCACGGGAAAGTAATGTTGTGAGTAAGTATTTAGGTCTGTGACCACCGAAGGTTTAGAGGAATCCCGGTACGAGGAGACCTGAAGCCATGTCACTCAGTCCTGGTTGAATCGCAACAGCCAAGCAGAGCTTCTGAAACTCATTCTGCCCCTAGAGGAGGTCTAGCAGAGACCACTGGTTGGCTCTGAAGATGTCACAATCACTGACATGCTGAGCAGAAGGTCCAGCAGGGTCTATACCATCATGGGGGCAGTGCTGATGGAGACCGATGTCCATGATTCAGAAATGTTTTTAGGATGCTCTGTGCAGTTTTGGGGATTTGGAAGAACAGACTGAGTCTGTGGGAGTTTTATGTTCTTCTAGCTCATCACCTCCAGCCTGCCTGATGACTCGGACCTCAGCAAATGCCCCATGCAGGACACAGGCCATGTATAGAGGCTGCCCTGAGCAACACCTCAGTGCCAACCTGATTTATTTTTCCCAGGAGATCTCCTGTGCCTGTGCCAAGACAGAGCTTGTGTTCACATGCAAACTTGGCAGATATGGCAGGAGGACAAAATGCCAGGTGAGGATCAGCTCAGCTGGAAGGGGTTCTGTCCACTTTGGAATTTTAGGTCACTTAGTTCTCATTTCTTCCACTGTTCTCTGGTGTTATTTATTTATTTATTTATTTATTTTTTGAGACAGAGTTTCACTCTTGTTACCCAGGCTGGAGTGCAATGGCGTGATCTCAGCTCACCGCAACCTCCGCCTCCTGGGTTCAGGCAATTCTCCTGCCTCAGCCTCCTGAGTAACTGGGATTACAGGCACGCACCACCATGCCCAGCTAATTTTTTGTATTTTTAGTAGAGACGGGGTTTCACCATGTTGACCAGGATGGTCTGGATCTCTTGACCTTGTGATCCACCCGCCTTGGCCTCCCAAAGTCTCTGGTGTTATTAATATATACTTTTGTACTGTTTTCTCTTCAGGCTTTTGCAATGGTTCTTTTAGTCTTTCAATCCCTGTATCATAGTCCGAGAATAAGAGCATTCCTTTTGAAACTTACTAGTCATTTACAAATGATAGTCTGGGTACTAAATTATTATAAAAAAAGAAATAAAATGTTTTGAAATAAGTAAATGTATAATTTTTACACGATATAGTCATTACCTGAAAATAAATCTTACTCTCATATTCTAATAAGTGATGGGATGAAAAAAGCATACTTTGCATGGTGTCGCTTAAAATAATTCCTCAGAAATACTTGTAAACTAATCATGGGCATATCAGCTTAATTTCATGAGGTGACATGATCAACGTAATGAATTATTTGTACCAAAAGGACAAAATATCTTTTTGCTGGTTAAAATAATAAACTCCACTAGAAATGATTGTCTATTCTAGAATGATGAAGTCCATGGTGAGTGAAGTAAAATTGTATCCCCAAGCAGAAATATCAAAAATAAATAAATAATGAAAACATGTTATCCAGGAAAGAATTTGTCACACATACAAAGAAAGACATGTCTTCAGAGTACTTTTGTACACAAGTGAGAACACACGTCCAACAAAAATTGTTGATTTCACTCCCACAATCAGCAGTGTGGAGACTAAAGATAGTACAATTAAAATTACATTCTTAACCCAAAAGGCCAACAACAAAGAATAGAAAGTTTACAGAATAGCTTGTAAAATAATAAATGGCAGGTCTACAGAAGATATTCACAAGTGAGAAAACATATCTAGCCAAAATTCTACGGATTTCACCACCACAAACACCACTTTAGAGCCTGGAGATGCTACACAGTCTCCTGTGAGCAGGACACCAGGACCCTGCACAGTGTGATGGCCTCAAATGAAGTTCAGCCTCTCACTGTGGCAGGAGCAGCTGTGGTGCCAGGGGATGAGTCTCCAGCAGTTGGAGTTAGGTGGACTCAGGGAGATGAGTGCAAAACCTTTGAGTAAGGAAGAGGCCATGAGGCCACAGTCACAGGCATAGCTTCGTCCTCTGTGTGAACAGGGCCAGGGTCCTCCAGGATGCCTTCCAGAGTCTCCTCCTTCCTCCACAGTCAGGGCACTCAAGCACCACAGACCCTCCAGTGTTGGCTGCCACATCCTCCCCGGAGCAGCCACTAAATTTCCCTGCTGTCTTCATGGGTGCAGGGAAGCTCAGTCATGTCACTATAAGGGGAGCCTAGTGTGTCCTTTCCTCACCTGCTGCCACTGATGCCCTTCATGACACTTCTACATGCCTTTGTCAAGTGACACCACTCTTACCAACCGTCAGGAGGATGGAAAGCAGCCTGCGCTGAATGATGTTTGGTTTATGAGCAAGTCAGAGCTCACGGGAGTCTTATGTGTGTGCAGCTCGTAATAATATCACAAAGGAATCCTATTTTGACTTTCCCTGACTCCTCACTGTCTCTGAGCAGTTACTCACTCTGCCCGTCCACTCTAAGACTTTCTTCTTGTGAAGCTGCTAAAGGTGTTTTCATTTGGAGACTGATACGATTCTAATGGTGGAATACTAGATGTGTGCTTGTCACATCCTCACATTTAGAAGAATAAAAGACCCTTCTTTTGACTATCATTTTTCATATTTTTCTAGTTTGTGAAGATTACATTTCCAGTGATTAATGTGAAAACTTCTTTGCTGAAATGCATTCATATTGCTGTAAATTAACCACATAAATTTGGATATGTGATGTTTACTTTCAGACCAAAATACTTTATAATTTACATTTTTGTTGTTTCTTTGCCCCATTACATTCAGTAGTACTTTAGTTTCAAAATACTTGGGTTTTTATTGACAATTTTTAAAAAAAAACTAATTTCAGTATTTCAGTGGCTTTATGGGTAAGAGCGTTTTTTAGTTACGGTGATGAGTTATATAGCAGTGAACTTTGGAATTTAGTTACCCATCACCCAAATAGTGTATCTTCTGCCCACTAGGTATTTTTAAATGCCTCCTCCTTCTCCCACCAACCCCATTCTTATAACTTTCTGTTTCTGATTTCTAATACAATTCCCTCAGTTGTGAATCATATATTTTGTATGATTTAATCAGCTTAATTGTATTGAAATATCTTGTGGTCACAAATATAATGTATCATTAGCAAATGTTTTGAAAAGACCATGGAATCTGCTGTGGTTTGGTGGGGTGTTCTCTAAGCATCAACCTTGTCCAGATGGTTGAGAGCATTGTTCAAGTCACCTGTATCTGCACTGGCCCAAGGGGCAGGGCTGTTTGCACTGCAACCTGGACCTGCTTTAGAGCCCTTTTCTACCCTGAGTCCCACTCATGACTGACAGATATTCATGTTGTCTGGTGGGCCAAAGCTGTATTACATGGGGTAGAATATGTAGCCTCCAGAAACCAAAAAAGTCCTACTTGGGGCTTCCTTATTTTAAAGACAAAGCCACTCATTGAAAATACTGGAATGAAATAGATATTCCTGTCATCCTGAACTCTAATTATCTTTGTGTTGATGTAGCACATATTACAAAGGCCTTATTAATGGGGACACCATTTAGTGCCATTTGATGGCAGCTGTAGAGATGAATGCCCAGATTCAAGATGCAGGGCAATACCAGCTGGGGTAAATCAGCCTCCCCAGCATAGCCACAATAGGACTAGGCAGCCACAAAGACTTCCCAAGTTAATTTCTGATTATTTTCATGGTCTTGGTGCAGTATCTGGACTTGTTCTCTATTGAGGAGGGTCTAAAAATTAGTGTCCTTGATTCTACTACAACTTTCATCTGGTCTTTCAGTCACTCACTAGGGCACTCAAGTAAAATTCTCCATAGATATGATTATTTTCTTTCAAATTCTAGACAAAATGTTGTTTTTTGACTTCCCTAGCAAAGTAAATATTTTAATGCTATGAATATGGTCATTTACATTCCATCTTTCTCTCAGTCTTTCTGCAAATGTTAACATGGGACAAATTTCATAATACGTTTCTCATTATTTCCCTTTTCATCTACAATTTCTGAGTAAGATGATCCACTATGAGAAAATCTAGGAAGTTAATTTTAACCCAAGACAAAATAGTTATATTGAAATTTAATACCTTCAGAAGCCAGAAACAAAAGATACTGCTCTTGGTTTATGACTTACTTAGGATTATCATTGACTAGTAAATATTTGCTTTAATTTTCAAAAGACTCAATAGGCTTCTTCCTTTCATTTTGCCTTATGTAAATAATTTTAGTATAAACTGTTTTCCTGTAGTAACAAATTAGTAAACCTTCTTATTTTCAGTTTTAATTTCTACCTAGGGTTGCTAGGATCCCAGAATACAAAAGAAGCCATTTTCTAGGTTGAGGATGTTTCAAATTTCCTAGGGTAAGAATATTAAATATTATTAAGATACAGCTGAATTAGTTTCTAGCAAGAAGTTATGTTTCTAGTTTTTTGTTAGACATAATAGTTTTATTCCTGACTGCAATGGGAGGTTAGAATTTATTTTACTTTATTACTGATGCTTTTTTTTTTTTGCTAGTAGATATTTTAGAAGAGCTAATATCTAGAAGTATTCCAAAGTAAGGGCAATTGGTTCTTCATAGAGCATTTACACTTGGATGATCCTTAGCTCTTGCCCAAGAATGACCAAGTGATAATAAAGTTTATTACCATGATGTGAAGCTGCTGCTTCCAGAAGGGCAGAGTCACTATTTCCAGCTATCAATGAAGACTGCAATATTATTATTCACTTTTATTATAAGACAAAAATTGAGCACTAAATACTTTATTCAGCTCTTCTCTGTTTCCTTTTCTGTACTTTTGATTTTTGTTAGCAGGTGATGAAAAGAAGCAGTTAAAAGAGAAATTCAGTTGATTTTTAGGAATCAGTTTGAGTTAATTTGATCCCTAATTTTTCTCAAGAGCCTTAACAACTTTTAATTGTTTCTTAAAACCGTTTAATATGGAAAAAAAAAACAAGTATGAGAATAAGAACTCTCAAATCCTATTCTCATGTTTTGTTTTGTTTTTTAACAGGTAAATTGTTTTACCTAAGTTAAAAGCAAGTAAGTTATTTCACTTTGTTGTCTGGTTATATTCATTCAAATTCTCATATCTAGTGCAGCTTCTATTACAGTTTAAAAGGCTAGAATCCCCAACTCAGTACCTAAAAACTTCTCAGGGTCTTCACTTCCCATTTCTATACGGTCCAGAAGGCCAACTTCACATCGAAAGAGTAGAAAAAAATTATTAACCTCTCATGCAAGTTGTGGTTTTATGGAGACCTATTTTGAAGACAGACACCCCTTTTTTCAAGACTGTGAATTCAAAGGGAACTTATGAGACACAGAATGTGCAAGAAGAAAACAGACTCATCCTTTACTTTATGTAGTTAGTTGGAGGCTGTGATGGATTCTGTAGAGGTATTGGTAAGTACAGCACCGCTATATGGATAGTTTGATAGGATTTCTAAAAATCTTTTCCAAGAAAAAGTAAAGACCAGAATTCAAACATTTGGAAACAGGTTCAGATGAGTCAGATCAAGAACGGGGCCTGAAGATTCAGAAAAGTCCAACACGTAAACAACGTGGTTTCTTTCCATGTTTGGAGAGAGAGATTCTCAGAAGCAGAAGATAGACATTTGCGAAGCCTACATTCCCTGTGCTCTCTCTCTGTGTTCCAGAATTTATCCATGAATCTATGCTCCAGTGAGTGACAATTTTAGTTAGTGAGATAATGCAGACAGCTGCAATCCCAGGTGCCTGGGAGGCAGGAATCTATTCACAGGACCTACAGCTTCACAGATGAAAGTTCCCTTTGTGGGTGACTTGGTCTAATTCCCATCCAAGCGCAAGCTCTCACCTTTAGTTTAAAAGAAGGTTCATTGAGGCTCAGGTAGAAAATATGCCTCTGTGTGCCTCAGCCTCATGCATAACCATGTGGGTTTGCACTGTCTGGACTAACACAGTCTGTAGAACAAAGTCTATGCAATATACAACCGTAGTTTATTAATGAGAATGCGATGTTGTTTATTTCAAAACTGTAGGCTTATTTCTCCATGGCTTGTGCCAAACTCAGATTTTAAAATGTAATTGTTTTGAAAACAGCCCAAATAAGAATGTTTTTAAATTTTAGAAAATACTTGCTCTATGTGTCCAGAAAACCTCACCCATATCTGCTAGCAATATGTAAGATACGCCCCAGTTTATGAAAACCTTGAACTTAGTATGACCCTCTGTAGCTCACTGATGCAGAACCTCCCCACTGTGCTGCTGTGTGGCATCCCCTAGCTGCATAGACCCTTCTCTAGCACCCAACCCCTTTTGAGAAACAACCCTGGCACCTTATTGTCTGGACTGTCTGCTGCTGGGAGGGACCTCTCTCTGCAAATCTGTCAAAGCTTCATTCAATAGAGGTCATGCATGCTGCTGCTTCTGTGGTCATCTCTTTTCTTGTGGTTAGCCCACACATCTGTCAACCCCACTGCAAACATGACTGACTCCTGGTAATGAACAAAAACTATTCCACTTTCAAGACTCTCTTCCAAAATCATTTCAGAAACACCGTTGCTTTCAATTTCATGGATCCCAAACTAACTGCATGAGGAAAAGGAGACACAGACACACTAAACCCCACCTGTGGAAGTCTTCTCTCATTCAGGTGACCATGGTTCAGATTAGAGACGCACAAGGCCTGCTCCCACCGTGGGTCAAATGGAGACTGTTCTTGAACCTTCTTGTCTGTGTCCACTGTGGAGCGACCAGCTTTGTCTGCTATTGTGAAAGCCGTGGCATCATGTGTCAACAGATAAGAGAGAGAGGTTTCTGTTTAGAATTAGTAATATTGTTCTTTAAGTCTGCAGGTAAACTAGGGTAATTTCGAAGCCATTTTCTGGCTAAAAAACATTTTATAAGATTTTATGTTTTCTGAATATGTCAAGCTACAAATTATGAGATTTTGATTAAAATTCTCAGTGGTAGCCTTCTTAACAGTTCATTAATTCTCATAGAAAATAGCAATGCTCTCTTAAATTCAAGAAATCTTAATGCTTTGTAAAGATAAAACTTTCAAGAATTGGCTTGTAGTAAAAGAAAACATGTCATAAAAGAAGACAATTTTTTGAATGTTATTTACTTTCCTGCAGTTCAAATTTTTGTATTAGATAACAGATAAAATTGATTACTTATTGAACATCCTTTCAGAATGATTATTTTAAACTAGCAATAAAAAG